AGATAAAGTCTTGCTTTGTAGGATTTATATTCTACAGGATGAATGGAAACAAATAATAAATCAATCAATAAATAGACATTCCCTTTGCAATAGTTATGTGAAAAGCTGAAACCAAGGCCAGCCATGCTTGCTTAAAGGGCACAGAGTTTCTCTTTGGGGTGATAAAAAATCTTGGAACTAGGTGGTAGCAATTGTGGCACAATGTTGTGAATAATTAATGCCCCTGAACTGTTACACTTTAAAAAATAGCTAAAATTGCAAAAACCAAGAGGACCCATTTTAGAATGGGCAAGGGGGCAAAGTGTGCATAATTGCTCTGGAGGTTGAGAGTATTTTTATCAAGAGACAGAGGCCACTGTTCACGCAGAGGGCTCAGTAAGGACCAAGCCCCAGGCCGGTGGGGAGCCTGCTGTGGCTGAGGAACAGACAGAAAGCTGATGTGACAGGCTCACAGTGGTGATGGTAGGAGGGGACAGGCAGTGGAGGGGAAGGGATGCAGGGGCCATATTCAAGGGCCTAGCTTTGATAATGAGCTTGTGTTTTATTTTGGTGGGAAGTTACTGGAGGGTAGTTTGGGTCACCATGACTGTTCTGTGGAGAATCAACCCTAGGAGGGCCTGAGTAGCCAGTGGAAAACCCAGGAGGCATTTGGGGAAGCTGTGAGGGTGAGAGTTGATGGCTTAGACCTGAGCAGAGGTTGTGGGAATGAAGAGAAAGAACGAACCCGCTACTGGGCTCCGGAATGCTAATGCATGCTAACCCCGGTGAGTGGGTTGATGTAGAAACCATTGAATTCACTTTTAATAAGCTGTATCCAACAGGCTGAGTGGATGTTTCTTTGGCTGGACTAGGCCACCCACTCCTGCTGGCCATCAAGATGGAAAGCCACAGGGTGCTGCTATGTGCCCCTGGAGGGCCAACCAGGGGAGCTAGACGGTGGCTGCAAGAATACTGGATGCTGGCAGCCTGTGGGCCAGGCAAGCATGCCTGGCCTCCTCGGGCCCCTCTCCTCCAGACACGGCTGGTATAGGCACTGTCAGCATCTGCTTCCCTGTCTGACCTTTCTCTTTTCTAATCCCAGGCATTTGGGTTGTCATATGTTAGTGTCATCTGTCTGGCTTCGCCAACCTGTTTCTCAGAACATCTCCTTGTCCATCAGTACTGGGTGAGCACTTCTGAACCCCTGTTTCTCGGCCTCTCCCTGTGCAACCTCCCATCCTAATCACAGGCTCTCTCAGGGTTGTTTTACTGGGTTGCATACAATGCTAAGTGTTCTCTGTATGTTCTTTTACTGAATCCCATCACCATCCTGAGAGGGAGGGAGGAGTGTCTCCATTTACATAGATGAGCCGACTAAGGCTCAGAGAAGGGAAGTCACTCACCCAAGGCCACAGAGCCAGCTAGTGGAAAAATAAGGCTCTAAGTCTGCCTCACCTAGGTGTGCCCGCTGTCCCACTGAGAGGGATCCACGAGATGAGGGTTTATGAAGTCCCCTGGCCTGGCTTGCTGTGGCTCTCAGTGAAGGGAGCCTTACCCTTGCAGCAGTTCTGTCACTTGCAAGGCTGCCTGCAAGCACCCCCAGTTCCTTCACATCTCTCCAATTCCAGCCCATCCCTCCGGGGAGTCTAGGGCTCACCTTTAGGGGCTTGTCCTGAGGAGAAAGGGTGTCACCAAGGCCTCCTGTCTGTCTTCTGCAGGGCTCCATTTGTCTTCCTCTCTGGGTTTTGACCACTAAGGGTGACTAAGCCCAATGGCCTGCCTTTTTTTTCCCTCCCTCTTTTCAAAACCTAACTCTACCTCACTCTCCACTTTCTACCCTATTTAGGCTTCTTCGGGAACTGCAGGCTAATCTGATCACCAGGTCCCCTGAATGTTATTGAAAAGTACTTTGGCTAATCTAAGTCATATCCTGCCCTGGGGCTTTAACCATCTCCCAGGCCAGCATCCTCCCAAGTCCTGGTGAGCACCAAGGGAACCAGCACATGCTTCCCCCAAGGCCCCTGTGGTGACCGGCCGGCCTGGCTGCCAAGTGGGCTCCCTCAGTCTCTGCTGACCTGTGCCTGGGCAGCACGGAACCCACGTGACTGGCTGTGGCAGACGCCAACACCAGGTTCTTGGCTCCCTTTCTGTGGCTTAGTGAGTGAACTGCGTCGTTTTTCTTGAATGTGAAATAAAGCGGGAGCTCGCTATGGTTGAAAAGAAATAATGGTATTTTTATTTTTAATTCATAATTCTTTAGCATTTAAGGAGACTTCTGCTCCTCATCCTATCATCACAAGCTATGTGCATTGGAAAAATTTGTTTTTCAAATTCTAATTTTTTTTATTCATTCAAGAACTCTTCTAGTAAAGTAGAAAAATGGAGAAATACAGTTAAACAAAAAGAAAGAAAACACAATCTGTACTCTTGCCATCTAGAAACAACCCTAGTTACTACTTTGCTGTATCTCTGTGTATTAATTAGAATAGGGTGAATCTGTACAAAGTATTGTCTATCGTGCTTTTTCACTCAGAGATTTTCTGTTATTTCTTTTGCATCTTTTTCACAAGGAAGAATAGCTGAGTCATCACTTTTCTGCCCAGTCTCTGGCCTTGGGGTTTAGCCTGGGCTGAGTGCTTCTCTTTCGTTGATTCTGTTGAGGTTTGCTTGAAGCAGTGAAGTGCACTGGGAAGAATAATGGACCTGGGCGGTAGGTCCAACTAGTCAGAAGATTGCTGGGCAGAAGAGATGGCGAGAGTCCCCAGGGAAGACTGCGGAAATGCTGGAACACGGGTGTCTTTTGCTTTCTGGGTCTTAACCTGTAAAAGAAGAGGAGGTTGGATTCACTCAGAAGATTTCCAGCTCTCTCTTCGGTGGTTCTGGTAGCACCAGGCATTCATGGCCAGGCAGGAAATTGCTGGGATTTTTAGTTGAGGTCACTCTCCCAGCTATTTCCAAGAAGATGTATGTGCCAGACGGTACAGAGAGTATGGGCTGACATCAGATGGAGGCCAAGGGAGGAGTGGGTGACCCCGAGGACCTGGGTTGCCTGGGCCTCCAGGGGTCATGTGCATTTTGCTTCTCAAGTAGAAAACGTACAGATTAGTCTGTGGATACCTTTTTGGAATCAAAATTAAGAAGGCACTTATTTTAAGGTTGCCTTTCTCTGCCATTATCTAGTATAATGGCGGATATCATCCCAGCAGATTTAGAAGAAATTCTGAGCCAGGCACACAAGTCTCAATTTGACCCTACGGGGTGTGAGCTACCCCAGAGCAGCTCTTGTTGCTGAATGTCCTAGCACAGAGTCTGGACTTAGTGTCACGTAAGCGACAGCACTTTTCTTTAACTATGGCTTTAACTTATGCCCGTAAAGCCGAGGGTAATGACATGAATGGAAAGCATTTCTGGGTGGGGATGAGGCAATGGGACCAAGACCTTTCCTTCTTCCTCATCTTGCTACTTAATAGCAGTGTCAATAACAACAGCCCCTTTCATTTGTGCTACAGCCTCCAGCTTTAAAAGCGTTCCACTCTCTTTACTGAGTGGGTATTGAAGATGTTCATGGTCTTCCCAGCTGTGGGGTGGCTAAGTGGGGAACTCAAGATCCCTGACCTGCAGGTGCTCTCTGAAATGTAGGAAGAGAAACTGAAGGACAAAAAAGAAAAGTGTGGGGCAGGGTCTGGTGTGGATGGCTACCCCAGGGTGCATATAGTGTCTGTTGTCTGACTGGTATGTCAGTGGCACCCTGTGGTGGGTAGGTGATGAGGGTGGGAGGGGGACCTTCCTGGTCTAGTCTGCATCTTTCTTATTTAATCTGGTGAATTTAGAGGAAGGCTCTTGACTCAGGGGTGAAGATTCCTGCCCATTTCTCTGTTGCACAGGTTTTAGCTCTAAACTTTTTTGAGGATCCAATGTTTGGGGTCAGGAATAGGTTCTTTCACCTTCTTTTTTAAAAAATGGTATCTTAAAAATATATATGTATATTTTAAATTAGTTATCAAAAACATGTAAAGTAAAAAAAAATGAAGTGTACTCTTTTTTTCCTACTCCATGGAATGTTGTCATTTTCCTTTCATCTGCTTTTGAATTCTGAACCTCTCTTAAGAGTTTGGCAGGTAACCTTTCAGATCTTTACTACATACGCAAGAGCACAGAGATGTATTGTAGAGGCTGTTGTTTTCTTTTTTAAATATAGAAAATGTACCATGTCCTATTCTCTCTCTCATACTCTCTTGGCAGTTTGGTTATTCCAACAGAACACCTGGGCAGTAGGTCCTTGATTCTTTGAAATCTCATTTCCTGCACTGAGAGGAAAAGGATAAGAATAGCCTGCCCTGAGATATTTTCTCTAAGTCCCTTGCTTTTTGAATGAGTCACAGAGAGGTGAAGTGACTGCCCCAGCCCAGTTCTGCAGATTTTTATATCATCAAGTCTATGCATTTTTAAAGAGTGACTTTCTGTCTCTTCTTTTTGGATCCATCCGGAGACTATCCCTGTGAAGTCAGCGGGGCAGGAATTATTGAGACTTGAGGATGAAGCGCCTTACCCCAAGTCTCTGCTGCAAGGGCCTGGAGCTCAGGGCTCTTTGTGTTGAGCTCAGTTTATCCAGCACTTTACTGAGAGGCTGGAGTGCCGTGCAGGCTAGTTGACTCCCTGCCTGGAGGTTATCTCTGACTGTTCCTTGTGCTCTGAGTAGAGTGGGGCTCCCTGGAAAGACTCAGTGTCCCAGGCAGAGTCCAGTTTCCTGATTTGGGCCAAGATATTGGTGTCCAGGAGGAGCTATATGGACTCAGGGTAGAGGGGGTCTGTGACTTAAGTTGTGCTATAACCCGTGACTTCTCATGATTCCCTCCTAATCCCCGCTACCTCTGTCTCTCCTCCCTCCTTCCTTCTCTCTGTGGCTCTGTCCATTTGCCTCCATCTGTCTCTCTCCACGTGTGGTTCCTCTTGCTCTGTTCATCACACCATCGCTGCCCTACCCTTCTCCCCCTCATCTGCTCCTCTTCATGCCAATGCAGGCGTACTGGTCACCATGACAACAGAGACAGGCCCTGATTCTGAGGTGAAGAAGGCTCAGGAGGAGGCCCCACAGCAGCCTGGGGCAGCCGCCGCAACCACCCCTGTGACCCCTGTGGGCCACGGCCACCTGGAGGCCAACTCCAATGAGAAGCAGCCGCACCAGCAGGATACTCGGCCTGCTGAACAGGTGTGTGCCTGAGCACTTGCGCCTCCCTCCCTGCCCAAACAGTCCTCCAGGGAGGAAAGAAGAACAGAGATTTATTACCGACCCTTAAATGTGAGCATGGTGCTGGGAACATTGTGTTCCTTTTTTATGTTTAATTCTCCTGAACCAAAAAGGCTAGCTATTCATTCCCCCCATTTTACATTTGGGGAAGCTGAGGCTCGGTAGATGAAGTGTACCCCAAATCACATTCCTAAAGAATAACCACAGTAGAAGTCAAATCTAGATCTGATTTTGAAAACCACTGCTCTTTCAACCTTATTTTCCTAAACCCTGAGCTTATTCGTTCTAGGTTGGCCCTAGGTGATGCCGGAGTGAAGTTCCAACCCAAAGTGACAAGGGATATAGGGAATCATCTGGCTCTTGAACTCATGCTCCCTCCAACTCATGGCAGGCCCTGAGAAGACAGGTCATTGGCCAGGGTCACTGAGGTGTCTGGCTAGTGGACTGGGCTCTAACCTTTCCCTCCATTGGATCAGTGCTCCAACCACATCCTCATAACTACACCAGTGACAGAGTGAGGAGACCAGATGGAGTGTTCTAGGGAGGCAGCATATCTCTGACTACTGGGTTGGGTTTTGCGGGGTACTCCTGCCTGTAGAGGCAGCTCAGACAGACAGCAACAAACTGTGGGGAAGTAGACCCCATCACCCAGGGAAACTCTAGTTCTCCTTCTGTATACACCCACCATAGGTCCCATCATCCTGTGGGTCTTGAGGGCAGTGATTCTCATTTCAGGACCCATCTTAGCCCCAGCTGCCTCCCTAATCTCATTTGGATGAAAAGCCGTGATTTTAAGGTCACTGATAAAATTCTCCTCTTGCTTGGACCTGCAGAGCCTAGACATGGAAGATAAGGACTACAGTGAAGCCGATGGGCTGTCAGAGAGGACCACACCCAGCAAGGCCCAGAAATCACCCCAGAAGATTGCCAAGAAATACAAGAGTGCCATCTGCCGAGTCACTCTGCTCGATGCCTCTGAGTACGAGTGTGAGGTGGAGGTAGGATGCCTGTGGCTCATGCCCCATCCCCGCTCGCTGGCCAGGACAGGCTGCAGCGTGCACTCAGCCAGGGTCACACCAGAGGGCACCCACAGAGTTCTGGACTGGCGGCAGTGTCCAGTAGAGACAGCCTGGCCTGCCCTCCTTTGTACAGATGGTGGCACTGAAGCCTGGAGAGGGCCGTAATGATTGCCAATAGAATTAGACAGGACACAGGGCTGGCGCCAGGGACAGGTTTCTCAGGGTGGCTGTGCCTTGGCAGGGAGCCACCTTCTAAGGGCTGATCATGGCTACGTAGGCTTAGTAACAGGGCTCTTCACCCTCACCTAGCAGAGGCTGGTGTTTAAACTAGAATCATTTGTATGTATTTATTAGAAGGAGAGAGGAGTCAGTTTCGGGCACCATCTCTCATCTTGTGGACAAGCTGGCCACTTGAGGCTTCCATGTAAGTGTGTCTCCTGGCCTTAGGGAGGCATCCCTGTGGCAGTACACCCTCACCCAGTTGTGGGATGGTCCTGTCCCAGAGTGGGTGGCAGGGTGGATGCCTTCTCCCTGGGGCCAGCTCTTCTGGCCCTGCCTTTAGTGTAACCCTCTCCTATTAGGAGCCTCCTCCTAGTTCTGAACTCTCACCCTTTAGAGGTTCTGCTCGAGTCTGCATGGCTCCTGGTCCTTCTCCTTTTCCTTGGAATAGTCCAAAGGTGACCTCAGGGCTGAGGTTTACAGGAGCTACCTCCCCCCCCGCCCCCCCCTCCCCGGCCTGGTGTTGGGGATATGACTTACTTCTGAGCCCAGGGAGCCTGAGTCCTCTTCTCTGTGGGGTGTTGTTTATTTATTTCTTGTACACAAGGGCTTCAAGGTGGATACCTTCCCTATAGTCCTGGCAAAAGAAAAGGATATCTTGTACCTCTTCTCTTCTTCCCACAATGGTCCCAAGATGTTCTTCCACCCCACCCTCAAAGGTCATAGAGGATTTGGCTGATGCCAGAGCTACTCTGTCTGAAAGTCTCATCCAGGCTCAGGAATTCCTCCCTCTCTCTGAAAGCCCCTGCCCCTTTGGGCAGTGACTAGCTCACTCTGTTCCTGCCCTATGATCTGTTCCTGCCCTATGATCCCTTTATTGGTGCTCATCTTGCCACCTGGCTTAGGACTACCCACAGCTAGGTTCTGGGCTCTGTTCTCTGAATCCTCAGGCCCTGACCATGATTCAGAGACCTACAGAGCCTGGCTGAGTGAAGAGGGCAACTTTAAAGGTGCTGCCACTAGCAGAGGCTAATTGGGGCCCCATGAGTCCATAAAAACCTTATTTTCTACTGAGTAGGAAATGGTGCTCCAGCTGTGCCCTGGATTTCATGCGGACTTAGTGTAAGAAGAGGGGCCCTGGAGGTAGAGTCACGTGTGACACTGGGTCCCAGACCTTCCCTTCTCTCCACCCATGCCTTTTGTATTTCAGATGTTTTTCCTCTTTCTTTCATATTCAAAGGACTTTGACTAATTACTTCTTGCCTCCATCACTTAATCTCTGTAAAGGAAGGAGAAATCAGTTACCCTTCCCATCTCCACTGCAACTTAGATCAAGCAGGTCTAAAGTCTAGAAGAGCTATAGCTGGGCTCAGGAGAAGGCAGCTGATGAGCTGGGTTTTTAGTGTCATCTAGGATCCCTTAGGACTTGGAGAATAGAGCCAGATGGGTTGCAAGAATGTTCATATCCTCTCCAGATGCTGGCAGACTTTTGGGGATTTTCAGGTTGACCTGGGTAGAACCTGGGAGCTTCACAGCACCTCTGCTTCTCTTCTTCAGAAACATGGTCGGGGCCAGGTTCTGTTTGACCTGGTCTGTGAGCACCTCAACCTCCTGGAGAAGGACTACTTTGGCCTGACCTTTTGTGATGCCGACAGCCAGAAGGTACCTGGGCTGGGGAGCAGGGCTGGCAGGGAGATCCCCATCATCCTCACCACATCCCATAGCTTCCACCAAGCACCTTCTCTTTGTGAGCCCCCAAGGTTCACTCTGCTCTATCAGCCCTCAGTTCTCACTTTACTGTCCCTCAGTACCTCCTTGGGGAACTGCAAGTCACCCCAGATGGATATCCAGAGAGCCGTAGCTTGGCTTTCTGGGAGATCTGGAGCACTTATTCCTGGTACCTCCTTCTACACTTGGGAGGCTCCTATCTGAGTTTTCTCCTCCCCCGCCCCCCTGTTCCACTACTTCACCTGTTTACTGTGCTGTCTCAGGACAATGCAGTTCCAGGATACTGGCTCCTAGGTCCTTAGGTGAATCGAGGTCTCATTCCTTCACTTCCCAATCCTAAGGAAATGGACCCAGAAAGCTCAGCCAGGGAAGGTGTTCCCTGCAGGGGCTGTCAACAGACCTTTACAGGATGTGTCTTTCTCCAAGCCCTACCTACTCCTCTCTTCCATCTCCTCTCTAAAGAACTATCTTCTCTTGCAGAACTGGCTGGACCCCTCCAAGGAGATCAAGAAGCAAATCCGGAGTGAGTGGCCTCCTGGGAATGCGGAATGGTGGGCAGGGGCCCCTGGCCTTGAGGGTCCCCATGACTTTGGGAAGTGCAAAAGTGCATTCAGACCTATGAGTTTATCTGCCCTGCTTGGCAGATGTTGGGGGAGCAGGACAGGAATTACTGTTTTATAGATGAAGAATCTCAGGCCTGGATGAGAAAAATGACCATCTAGAGTCACGCAGCAAGTTAGCAGGGGAACCACTGGCCTAATTAGGATGTCAGCCCTAGCAGGGACCTGCATAGTCATCTCGCACAAGGGGATAAACCGATGGCCTGAACAGCCATTCTCCTGTCTGGGCTGGCGTGGACGTCAGTGATCAGTGACCCTGTGTCTCAAACCTCACCCTCATGGCATTCCAGGCCACTGCCAACTGATAGGAGTTCACACGTCAGGGGAAGCGCCTTGATCTTGAGCATCTTCTCTATTTGGGGGAGGGTGACTGAGGCCCAGAGAGTGGCAATTACCCCAGGTCACAGGGTGAGGTGTGGGCTGTGCCAGGCTCGAGCTCTGGCCTCCCAACCCCATCCTGCACTTTTTCAAGGCCTGGGGTGAAGAGAGATGAGCAGGCCAACAACCTGTCCTTTCTGGCCCAGAGAAAAAAGCCATGTTGGGAGGGTTGGGGCAGACTTCAGATGGCAGAAGGGGGAGGTAGGTGGTCTCAGCTGGGGGCAGGGGTGGGGAAACATGCAGCAGGTGAAGACCTGAGCCTAAGGGCCAAGATACCTCTCCTGGAGCCACTCCCCCTTGGCTGTACTTGGGCTCCCTGGTCCTTGGGCTGGAAAGCTGTAGCTGATCCTGTTGCCATGACAGCAGGCAGCTGGGCCCAGGGATGCCAGCTGACTCTGCGGGAGGGGGCTGGAGGAGTTCTTCCTGTAGGCTCCTGACAATTGGAGACAAAGAGGCAGGCACACAGACAGAGCATGCTCTTCTGGGACTGACAGGGTCATGGGCCTGGACTTCAGGCAGTCTTCCAGGAGTCCCCACCCAGCTGGGAGGTCTGTCTTTCATGCCTGAAGTATTGCAACACACACAAGCAACCAAGTGTGAACCTTTGATAAGTACCAAGGGCTTAGGAAAGAGAAGCAGCCAGCAGAATCTCTGGACCTCGGCTCCCTCCCCAGGGTAGGGTCTCAGTCCACCCCCACAGCCCTGCCAGCATAGACTAGGCCACCCTCCCTGTGGCCACCTTACCTTATCCGGGAGCAGTCCTGCTTCAATCTCCTTCCCTAGCCTTGTAACTTCCACCCGTTTGTCCTGCTTCTCCTTTCTGGGGCTCCAATGTAGCAGTTTTTACTCCTCATGTTTGTGATACACCTCAGCTTTCTGGGCAGCACCATGAGTCCTATGCGCCAGGCTTCAGAGTTGGGACTGTTTTCTCCCAAATCTTGGTGCTTGTCGCCTAGGAAATAGGGGGCAATTTCTCCATCTCTTTGGGCTCTTGCTTCTCCTTAGCCCAAAGACTAGTGATCTCTGCCACTTAAGATGGGGTGACAGTTTAATGATCCATATGTGGACAGCATCCAGTACAAAGTAGGTGCTTTCCTGGGACATTCTGGGGTGTCTGTGCAAAGGAGAGATAATCGGGCCAAACTACTGGATTTGATCTATCACAACTTCTTGTCTTGTTTAATTTTTCTGTGCCTCAGTTTCCTTATTTGTAAAGTGGAGAGAATGACAGTACTTAGCTTTAGGGTGGTTGTGAGTATTAAATGACTTACTATGCGCATAAGACATGGCATGATGCTGGCACACCGTAGTGCTCGGTGTGCATTTAGCTGTTATTGTTATCATTGTCTTTATTACTACTGTTATTCCTCCTGAGACAGGGATTATTTCCCTTGAGGCTGCTTTTTCCAAGGAGTCAATTATGTCTTGAACATGGGCTCTGAGGTTAGATGACCAGAATCGTGAGCTCTTTTTGCTCCCACTAACTAGTTGACAAGCTCTAGAATCTTCATCTATAAAAAGGAAGGTCCACCTTCCTGAGGGAGCATTATGAAGATCTCATTCTTCTTCAGGTGTGTAAAGTTCCTAGCAAGCCAGGGGACCAGCACTTAGGAGGGTTGGAGAAGCTCTATGGTGAAGACTGCAAATCTACCATGCGAGGATGAGAATGACGGCATAGGCTCCAGGCTTTCAGGACCTGCCCTGCCCTGCGCTGGACAGGCCTTTGTAGAGCACGGACCTGAACTGTCTCAGTGGTGGTGTGAGAGCATGGTTCTGACTGTACCCTTTCACCCAGCCCCCCACCGTCACTCTCCCTTTCTCAAGACACCATCCTTTCTCTTGACTTGCAGAGTTTGTTTCCAGCTAAAACCTTAGCCTCTTTCTCTTGCTTTCTCTCTACCTTAGATATATGTGTCATTGATTTTTCAGATCTCAATTTGGAGCTTAACATTTATCCTGTGAAGTGCCCTTGTCTCTTTTATTCCATTATATTTGCTTTTAAGGTCTTGTTTATAATCCACTTTTGCCCTCTAAGATGGAGCCAATGTGGTATAGGGCAGAGTTTTCCAAAGTGTGGTCCAAGGAACATTCATCTGGCAGGCTGCCCTGTGAAAAATGGGTACAGTAGGTCAAATAACTTTTAGAAACTAGTGAGTATGTCCCCTGTGGAGAGCTGCAGTTTACAATGGCAGAGTGAGGGTTCTGAGAAGTCCAAAGTTAGGAAACTTTTGTTAAAGTTTCCAGCGTTTTCTGGACTTCCCATCTTTCCATTAGCCTCCTAAGGCATAGACATTGTAAAGGAAGGGGTACAGCTTTGGAGCCAGGCATTGAGGTCCCTACCCAGGTGACCTTGGAAGGCTGGCCACTTCACTGCCTGCACCTTGCTGTCCTCATTTACAAAGTGGGGATAATCACAGGACTTACTCATTGGGTTATTACAAGATTTAATGAAGTGATTCTTGTAATTTACATAGTGCTGGTGTGCACCAGCACATCAGTTTTCTTCCTTTCTACGTTCCTTCTCACAGCTGGTTTACAAGTCTCTTAACCTGGGCCTCAGTCTCATCAGTCAAGTGGAAATAACGTCTCAAACTTCCTGAATAGAATGTGCTGAGAATATAGACTTGAGAAGGCTTTAATTAATCACCTTTGGGGTGGTGCAACAGGGCCACTGACTGATAGTATCCCCATCTTCTCCTCTTAGGCAGCCCCTGGAATTTTGCCTTCACAGTCAAGTTCTACCCCCCAGACCCGGCTCAGCTGACAGAAGACATCACAAGGTGAGGGTTGCGGGGGCGGCAGGTGTGCTGGCCATGTGTGACTAGGGACGTGGGCACCTGGCCCTGGGAGACACTGGGTCGTTTACGATGGCCTTGCAAGGTCAGATATCTACTGCCTTCACACAGTGAGCATCAACAAATGAAGCCGAGTGTGCAAGAGAAGGTGATGCACACATATTGGTCACTGGCAACTGACTCATAACTTTAGAGTTAAGAGGGCCGGTGTCATAAGGAGCAGGGGGCCCAGTGTGAATTTGAGAGGACGGGCACCATTTAAACAGTTCAGCGAGGGCACTCGTTGCCTGTTGGAACCAGGTCCAGTTGTTGAGATGAAGTTAGAGATTTGAGAGTAAAGCCACAAGTTTAAAATGTTGATAGTGAATTCAAACTCTGCATGTGGAATTTGCACTCAGTGCACATGGCAGACCTGTAGGGGTCAAATGAGGCATGTGAACCCCTTTGAGTCAAGCCCAGGCTCTTGGGTGAACATGGATTGCACACACAGCCCCACTGTACATTGGGGCTCAAGGATACCACCGCTTAAAGATAGACAGGAGGTATAAAGCATCCTTCAGGATGAGCGCATCTGTGGGCCCTCTGAAACTGGAACACGATCTATCTATGGTGGACCATCTTTTATATCCCTTCCAAAGATATCCTGAGGCTGTGTTATTCATGTGTGGGGGTCTTACATACCCTTCAGTAAGATGTGAGCTTGGAGTTATTCCTGCATTAGGGGAGGGGCCACTAAACCAGCCTCTCTCCTCCACTGGGTCTCTCTTTAAAATTTGCCAGGCAACAGGCCAAGATCAAAATGCTGGCTCTGGCCTTGGGAGATAAGACAGATGTCCCTGGACTAGATCAAGCACTGAGGTCAGCTTAGGGCCAGGGTGGCAGCAAGCAACAGGGTCTGAACTTCATTCCCAGGAGGAGTGAGAGCTTTACATCAGCACAGACCCCAGCCCTAGGGGTGCCTTACTTCTTGGTGCCAGGCATCAGGCTTACTGGGCACCAGGAGGAAAGTTAGCCTGACCCAACATAGGGGGCACCTAGAGTTGGGTAGTAGTTAACAGTTGATTTAGTCAAAAACACTGGGACCCAAAATAAACTGGTCAAAATGACAAATTGAATGAAAAGGGAGATTGGCCAGAGTACTTGGCAGTGATTTCCAAATTCTACTTTTGGACAAAATACCCGTAAGTCCACATTTGGGACCTGTGATGTTTGAGCTGGTGCTTTGGCCTGATCACACACTGTGGCTGCACATCCTTCCTGGCAGAACTTCAGTTCTGACTGCAAAATAGTGTCACAGCACAGTAAAAATTATTCTGAGTGCCACTTAAGAGGAAAAGAAACTGGCAATTGAAAAAAAAATGGTGAAACAGAGCAAAATGGGCTCCAAGGAGGCATCATCGACTGAGAATGAACTGAAACTTGTTTTTTAATACACAGTAACTGCAAAAGCAATAAAACATGGTTTAAAATGGCTCTAAAAATTGTAAAACCATCCAAGTGTTCATAAAAGTTATAAAAAATCATGGCCTAGTGATTGGAAATGTTTCTTTTAAGCCAATTTGTTTTCAGACAATTCACTCAGAGCTAGAGGCAAAATAAAAAAGTTTTGAGAAGATACAGGCAAATAGGTCCACCCAGGATGTGGTACAGGGTACAGAAGTTAAAATGAATGTGGTCAAGTTGCAGATGCTCACCTAGGAACTATTCTTGGGCACATAGTTGGGAGTGCCATTTATACCCTTGAATCAAAACCATGCACATTCTCTCTGTCCTTGGAGGAAAGAGTTCTAGAACACCACATGGGTAGCAAGGAAATTTAGCAGCATCTCTAAAGTTTATACTTTTTCCACTGCTAAGAATTTACAATTAAGAATAATTGTGTAATTAAATATATATGACATTTTTAAAAGTCCAGACCAACAAAGTAGTCCTATTTAGATTGATAATGAGTTTATAATTGAAAATGCTTCCACGGTAGAAAAAAATCTGTCGAAATTAGAAATGAACAAAAGCGCTGAAAGCCATGTGAAATGGTGCAAAGCCATCGTATGGGTCATGCCTAAATTCCCAATGCAGGAAATGCCAGCCTGGGGATGTGCTTTTTCTCCCAAGCTGAGCATTGGTCAGTTTGGTTCTGATAATGGGTGGGCAGCTGTGCCTGGGGACACCTAGAGAGGGAATGCGGCCCGTGCCCATGCCCTCTCTCCCCTATCTCCAGATACTACCTGTGCCTGCAGCTGCGGGCGGACATCATTACTGGCCGGCTGCCCTGCTCCTTTGTCACGCATGCCCTGCTGGGCTCCTACGCCGTGCAGGCTGAGCTGGGTGACTATGATGCCGAGGAACACGTGGGCAACTATGTCAGCGAGCTCCGCTTCGCCCCCAACCAGACGCGGGAACTGGAGGAGAGGATCATGGAACTGCACAAGACCTACCGGTGAGGGGCCCTTACCCCAACCCCAGCTCTCCCCAGAGCTCTGCTGGTTGACTAAAACCTCTGCTAGGCCTCCGGATGCTGTGCTCTAAGTATGGTACCTGGCTCAGCCCTTAACGAGGCATGTGTAAGAGTAAGTCTTATCCCACTGTGTCTCCGTCACATGGAGATGGAAGTAATTTAGTACATGCTCTTCTAGGCATGTATGATTCCCTGTCCTAGTGTGTGCTCCCAGGTAAGTGTTCTGACGTCTTGATCCTGGTATAAAGTTCAGATGGCATGGGTTCATCTTCTGCTACTTAACAACCAGGGTCCTTGGGCAGGTCATTCCTCTTCCCTTTCCCCCCTTTCCTTATCTGTTTGATGTGGGTGCTAGTCACATCTACCTGGGGTGGTCAGGAGGGCTAAAGGGTACATATTAGAGACCCAGAGCCTGTCAGCTATGTCTGTTGTTTGCTGTGATTTGAGGGGCTGAATGGCTGAGGGCTGTGGGAAGCCCCTTATTCCAGCAGTTAGAAGATACTTAACTGGATATGTGGTTGTAGGGGGCTGTTTAACCTGTCTAAGCTGCATCTTTCACTTGTATATGTACACTTAGGTTGTCAATGTTTCTCAGCTGTTGGTATTTGGAGCAGGCAAGTTCATTGCATTGCACTTGCATTGGAGCAGTATGAGGTGCTTGGCATTTCTGGGCCTCGGCCATTAAGTGCCAGCAATGCTCTCTGTTGTAACAACCCAAATGCCCTCTCCCCCGTTTCCAAATGCCTATGGTGACAGTAGTACTGCCCCCCTGGGGGAAACCCTTGAAACTAAACAATCTAGTTTTTAGCTAGAAGTGCTCTGATCTCTAAGTCCAGGGTTGTTATGGGAACCCAGTATGACAAATGATGTGAAAGTACATTGTAAACTATAGCGTGCTCTGCATGCAGGAGGGAGTGTGGGATGTTCTTTCCTTGATAAAGAAGATGAGGTGATGAGAAGCTTTGTGTGCTGGGGGCTGAATCTGGAGAGGCAGCCCAGGGCCAGATGAAAGGGGTGTGTCTGTGAGAAGGAAGGCCCCTGGGGTGTGATGTAATGTTAGGTCAGGGCTGGTATGTCTGTCTTCCCGAGACTTGTATACCAAATCTGGTTGGTCAGCAACAGCTGCTGTCGTATTGTGTTGAGTGGGATTCAGGATTATTAAGCAGTATACCTGTTTAATACTACCTCGCTCAGGAGTAGGAAGTGTTCACACCTGTCATCTCTGTCATAGGTAGCAAAGTGTGTTAGTGATTTGCAAGAGTCATAAAAATTCAAAGAAAGCAGTCATACACTATGGACTGGAGAAATACCTGACCATCCTTTTAACTTTATCATTCTTTTGACTTATAACACATGGGCATCTAGTATCTTTGTATCCCACACAGCAGCTCACTGGGATAAACAGAGCAGAGCAGAGGAAGCTATGTCCCAGAGGAGATGAGACACATATAGGTGAAGTGGCTGGTAATACCAACTCTAGAGCCACCTTGTCTGGATTCACATTCTGACCTTGCTACTCAATAGTTGTATGTTTTTAGGCAAGTAATTCAACATTTCTATGCCACAATTTCCTCATCTATAAAATGGGAATAATATTATCTATTTGATTGAGTTGTTATGAGGATTCAGTATGCTTCAAGGCTATATGTAAAGTGTTTGAAACAGCAACCAGTACTTATATTCTACAAATATTAACTGTGACTAAGTTACAATGTAGTTTCCTGGCAGCCAAAGCAAAGGAGGAACTTGATTAATTACATAAGTCTTCTTGTCAGAAAGGAAAATGTGCACCTATACCTCAGGGGAGATTAAGTGGTTTCTGATACAAAATTCTGGGAGAAATGATAATTTCTCTATAGGTGATAATTTAGGAGCCCCTGGGTGATTATGATGAACAATGTCTTCTACAATGACTTCATAGTCACAGAGAAACAAATTTATGGCTCACATTTAACTCAGTGGCAGAATGAGGCAAAAATCCTGACTCCAGATGCACCCTGAAAATGCTTCCTAGCAGGAGCAAGACTGGCTCTGAGCTCTGGTGGGAGATGAGGTTGGTGCACTGTAAAAGAGGGGAGCCAGGGTGCACCACGCTGCCTGAAAGCGGAGGGGAAGGACCAGATGAGGCCTAGTCATACTCCCATTCCAAAACATTTGCCTTCCTGCTATCATGGGCTCTGATCATGGCCTCCTTCAATCAGCAGGACTTAGGCCTGGGCCTTTCCATGGCAACCTGTGATCACTTTCTTTCCCTTAGGGGCATGACCCCTGGAGAAGCAGAAATCCACTTCCTAGAGAATGCCAAGAAGCTTTCCATGTACGGAGTAGACCTGCACCATGCCAAGGTACCACTGGGTCCCAGGGTTTCCCTAGTGCCTGGGTGGTGTCTCTGATGGACTACAAGGTCCTGCCAGAGGACTTGGTGTGTCAGACGCTACATTGCCTCCTACCTGAAGTCTTTTCAATTCTCCTTTCTTTCCTCAAAACTCCAAGACCTTTTATTCCCTCATGATCTTTATCACTTTCTCCTTCTATTTAGGAGTCTGTTGTGCCACCACTATATTGGGAGCATCATGAGGGAAACACATAGGCCTTCATTTATTTCTCTCTCCCTAGCACATAGCACATGGCCTAGCACTAAATATTTGTTGAGTGGATAAATTAGTGAGTTGAGTGACAGAGTGAGTGGAAAATAAATGACAAAATGAATGACTGAATGACTATGTGAGAGATTGGTCAGGGGGATTCCAATAGGGGCTCAAGCCCTGATCTGGAAGTCTCATTAATCAGAGATTACAGGGAGAGATTTTGGGAGCAGGTGGATCTGGGGCCTGCTATTCCATAGTCTTTTTCTACACAGGACTCTGAGGGCATTGACATCATGCTAGGAGTCTGTGCCAATGGTCTGCTCATCTATCGGGACCGGTTGAGAATCAACCGCTTCGCCTGGCCCAAGATTCTCAAGATCTCCTACAAGAGGAGTAACTTCTATATCAAGATCAGGCCTGGGGAGGTGAGCCTGGTTTGCAGTCCCTTTCTTTCACCAGAATTGTCTAGATTGGAGTGGACACTGACATGTTGGCCTGGGTTTTTGCCAATCCAGGATACATAGATGGGGTGATGGTGGGGAGATATCCCTTTTCTGCTGGGTCTGTATGTAGACTTCACACCTTAGGTATGTACCTGCACACACACACACACACACACATGCAGCCCATGCATATGAGTGTAAATGTAAAGATAACCACATATGTTCAGGTTATATAGTTCAGTGACTAAATGAGGCTCAAGCCCTGAAGTCTCACTAGGAGCAGATCGCAGGGAGGGATTCTGGGAGCAGGTAGCAGGCTGCCCCCAGGCATGGATCCCAGGCCTGCTGTTGCATAATCCCTTCCCATACAGGACTCTGAGGGCATCGACATCATGCTGGGTGTCTGTGCCAGTGGCCTTTTCTGTTGGGACTGGCTGAGAATCGCCATGTAATTCCTCACATGTAGTACTCAAGAGTGTATAGATACTAAGATATACATAGACCCCTGAGTACCTGCACAACACGTGCAAACATGTATAATTCCAGCCTCCTCCTCTCACCTGTCAACAAGTCCATTCTTTTCTAACTCTAGAACAAATGTGAATCCCTCTGCTTCTTTCCTCTCCACCATATTAGCCACCAACAGCTGCCATTTCTCACCTATATGCTACAGCCTTCTCCTCACTGTTCTCCCTGCCTCCAGTGTCTCTTTGGGCATTTTCTTCACAGCTTAAAACTCCGTTCCATCAGATTATGTCAAGCCCACCTCCACCCCTCTCCTGGCTTAACCTTTAAAAGCTCTTGGTTCTTAGGCCATACTCCATCTGTGGCCACCTGTGTCTCCCACTTCTCTCTGCCACGTGCCCCTGTCTGCTCTGTGCCTGTCCCTTTGGCCTCTGAGTTCCTTGAATTAAACCAAGCTCTTTTCTACATGGAGCCCTTTGCTAGCCCTATGATCTTCCCTCTACCCAAAATTCCTTTCCCCACCTTCTCACAGAGCTGGTTGCTTCCCCATCTTTTCAGTCCCTGCTCAAAGGTCCCCAGATCCTGGTTTCTGAAACACCACATGATCCCTGAGCCTACGATGTATTCTACATCATGTTACACATGTCTGTCAGTTTCCTTCATGCCTTTGTCAGCATCTGAAGTTATCTTGGTCACTTATATATTATTGGAGGCCCCATCCCACAACCCTGAGAATCTTCTACTCTGATCACCATGGTGTGTCTGTGCTTAGCACTGGACCTGTTACAGAGTAAGGGCTTATTACCTTGTCTAGGAAATGTGTAAATAAATGAATGAACAGGCCAGAGGTGTGTGTGCCTGAGAAGAGGTTCAGAAAAGGCTAGACGGGTGGTGAGAATAGGTTGGGCCTTGCTTCTCACCCAGCCTTCTTGGTTGGCAGTATGAGCAGTTCGAGAGCACGATTGGCTTTAAGCTCCCAAACCACCGGTCGGCCAAGAGACTGTGGAAGGTCTGCATCGAGCACCACACCTTCTTCCGGTGAGCCTACCCGTGGGGCAGGGGAGCGGAGGAGGCAGAGGTGTGAGAGCGTGTGCATGATGCCTGTCTTTGGTGAGGGGAGAGAGCAGCAGTAGGGACTTGAGGAGAGGCCTCCTTTCCTCTTCTCCCAAGTCTGTCCCCTTTCAGACCACTTAATGGTGTCAGAGCTGGTGGGATACTGGGGTGAATGGCCAGCTGTGGTCTAGCCTTGGGCTTGGCAATGCAGGTCTGAATTCCCACTTCCTTCCCATCCATGCACTGCAGGCTGGTGTCCCCCGAGCCACCACCGAAGGGCTTCCTGGTGATGGGCTCCAAGTTCCGGTATAGTGGGAGGACCCAAGCACAGACCCGCCAGGCCAGTGCCCTCATTGACCGACCTGCACCCTTCTTTGAGCGTTCCTCCAGCAAACGGTACACCATGTCCCGCAGCCTGGATGGAGGTAAGTCCCAAAATAGAAGTGGGGGGAGAAGGGGGGGGATGCGCCCAGGTTCTATAGATGAACACTGAAGGACACAGGCACATCACTCTTTGATTAGCACAGGTCTGGTGTCCTGAGAGCCCCACAGTACCTGGGCGGCTGCCGGTGGGTTAACACCAGTAGCCTGCAGCCCGAGTTCCACTCTGGTGTGACACTGCCACTCCTGAGTTGTGCCCTTTGGGATTCCAGTTTCATCTGGGCTTCCTACCCAAGAAGTTTAGCAATGCACAGGTAGTTTGTCACTGTGCCAGGAGAATGATGCACTGTGACTGCAGTGTGGGGCTGGTGATGCCTTACCTGTGAAGGCTGAGGAGTTGCTACTGGCCTCTTTTTGGTTCTAATGAGCTCTAGGCTGATTGACATCGAACCCGTGGAGCTCTCCACTGCCCCCTATTTCCACTGGACTGACAGGTGCCCTTTGCATCAACAAGAATCTGCTCTACACACTTCTGTATCAAGTTGACCAGGGCTTCTCAAAATGTGCTTTGCAGACCACCCATGTCAGAATCACATGTGAGCTTGTTAAACATGAAGATTCCCAGGGCCTGGCTTAGAGCTACTATATCAGCATCCTAAGGACATGGAGGCCACCTCTGGATTTGCATACTAATTTGTGGGCAATGTTCATAGTCACATAGGGCATTGGGGAGATTCAGAGTTACAGGAAGACACCCATAAATATCTAGATGGATGGATAGATGGATGAATGGGAGGCCTTGAGTAACTTATCCTCTCAACCCTATTCCTTCTGTAAATTAAGTAATACTTTACAGTTGCTGTGCTATAGAGGAACTGAACAAGATAATGCCTATACAACACCCAAAACAGTTCCTCTCACACAGTAGAATTTTACTAGATTGCATCTAGTTATAAATTTTTGTTTATTGTTACAATAATAAATTATTATTGCCATTAGGTTTGTAGAAGCCAGTTTAAAAGTGGGAGGAGGACACTCAGGTGTGGGAACAGTGAACATATCCAGAGTAGAGGGCAGGCTCCGAGGCAAGTGGTTCTACTCGAAATTTTTTCCTGAGTTTTAGATAAAGTTTGATCCTTTTCTTTGAGAAGCTTATGGATTGATTGATTTGTAAGCATTTAATGCAACTTGAGAAATGGTTGAGATGCAGAATACAGAGGAGGAGAGTGGAGGTTACTTAATCCGTGAGGAGAGGGATTTATTCTGTCCAGAATGGGCAGCGGAAAAAGTTTGGGAGAGGATGACAACCGGGCAGGTTTGAAGGCTAGCTAGGTGTTTGCCAGGTGGCAGGAGAGCCTGATGCTTTCCTGCAGGATGAAAGTGAGACCTGGGCCAGAGTCCCCTGGCCACATTCACAGGACAGGCAGCATACAGAGGTTCTTTTGAGCTTGAGAAAGCTGCTTACTCTCCTTGAGTGGGCATAGGACTGACAGCTGAGATTTAAGCAAAGGGAAAGCAGAACCCTCCTATCCCTTTACCTTCCTCTGCAGCTTCCATTACTATGCCAGGCACTAAATGAAGATCAGATTGTGCAGGGCAGTAAAGAGTGACCCAGAGCTGGTGAGGCTCATCAAGGGAGGACTGGGAGCCTCGACTCTCCACCAGGAGACCAAGGACCTTGTTCTGAGACATTGAGATAACACCGGAGGCACCTTTCCCCTCTTGAGGTCTCATTTTCTCTTCTGTCAAGTGGAGATGGTAATTCCCATTTTAGCCTTTAACACATAATATCATGTGTATCAAATGAAATAATGTACCTAAATGAACATTTTGCAAAATGCATATATATGTGTGTATATACATGAATAGAAAGGATAATTGTTTTATTTTAATCTAAGCCATCCCCAAAGAGAATCCATATGCCACACATTTTAATTCAGTGTTTTCCAGCCATGATTCTCACCAAGTCATAATCTACAGACATAGTCTGGGTTCAGCCCCGTGCCTGGTGGAAAGTCTGTGGTGGTCTCACCTCTTTCAGAAAAGTATTTGGGATGTCAGCGAGTAAGAAAGGTGCTATGCAGGAATGCCCTTGAATTCTTCCTCATTTATAGAGAAGCTAAATCATTTGCAAGCCATAGGACTTTAACTTTCACAAGTAAAAACTAATCTCAACAATTTCTGCATCTTGTCAAATAATGATCAAGGGAGGATGCTGCCATAACCACGACAAAGACAGTGACATTTATGGGCCAGTGCTGACTGAAGTCTCACTCTATCCACCCAGCCTTCTAAATACCTACATGCTTTAACTTGTTCCTTCCCCTCAGCTGGAAGGGATTATGTTCAATGAAATAAGTTAGAAGGAAAAAGAAAAATATCAAAGGGTTTCACTTATAGGATGAATTTAAGAGAACCAAATAAGATGGGGGAGGGGGGAGTGTATTTTTATTACAATACCAAACGCAACAAAATAATACAAAAACAGACAAGTAAAAACCAGAGAGAGGCCCTCCCTGGTGGTGCAGCGGGTTAAAGCACAGCACCGAGAATCTAAAGCTGCTTCTGCATGAGTTCGATTCCCGCCTGCCCCGGAGGTGACCCACATGGCGTGGCAGACCTCTCCTGACCCGCCCGC